GAGAAGAAACTCTGCCAGGTTATTTTACTCTACACTGGGCTACATGCATTCAGGGAACAATGGGGCCTTTCTTTCCCACCTGCAGGAAACCTCGCAAACCTCACTTCTTAAGTTACTTAACCAACTCGGCCAACATATCCAACATTGCTCGGAGGGATGGAAGAACCCAGTGGGTGGAAGGGAACACGGGAGGCAGCGGGCAGGAGAGCTGCCAGGCCTCTGCTCAGGCCATGCCCAGGGCTGGGACGTGGCACTGGTTCTGTTGGGCAAACCTCTCCCAGGTGAGGCTGGGTGACATTTGCCTCCATTCCCAGTGGCCACGTAGGTTTGCCATTCACCAACGTGTGCACATGGCCCTGCTCATGCAAATATTAGAGGAGTGCTGTTGTTGGTGCTAATGTAGCTTTCCATGGGCAAACAAAGGTACCCGTGATTGCACACCTGCAATTCACTATCTATTAGCCAGCACTTGTGATATCTTTATTAGGATTTAGCCTTTCAGGCAGGAGGCAGAGGAAGGAGTGTTTAACTTCACAAAGCACTCCACTACCTGAAATATTCAATAATTATTTTGCACAAGCTTTGCACACCCCACCCTGTGAGCTGAGCACATACAGAAGTATATATTTATCAAAATCTAGATCCCTTCTTGAGTTAATCAGGACCAGAAGGAAAGATTGAGCTCTCCTGCGAATGCATTCGTGGTGGGGTTGCAGTGTCCAGCAGAGCTGGCAGCCCCTGAGCAAATGGCAAATGGCTGCAGCCATGGTGGGCACAGTGAGTTCTGGGTGGGTGTCATGTTGGGAAGGGAGGGTGGGGAGGAAAGGAGCCCTGGGAGGAAGCACCTCATTGGACATCATCCATCCATCCTGCAGGAAATGCAGCATATAAAAAATAGGCATAATATTTTTCACAACCCAAAAAAAAATTAACCTGCTTGTGCAAAAACACTGCTGCAATTTTGTTGTTTTTTATTTTTATTTTTATTATTTTTTATTTCCTTCTTTAAGAATTCTGAAAGTGATTTATCTTGTATTCTGCTATGCAGAACCACAGAAGCATTCAGGTTGGAAAGCCCTGTAGGATCCCCACGCCCAACCCCACTCAGCCACCCCCCCATGATGCCCACTGCCCACATCCCTCAGTGCCACATCCCCACAGCTCTGGGACACCCCCAGGATGGTGACCCCCACTCCCTGTGCAGCTGTGCCACTGCCTGCCTGCTCTTTGGGTAAGGAATTGCTCCTCATACCCACCTGACCCTCCCCTGGTGCAATGTGAGGCCATCACCTCCTGAATGTGACCCTAAACCCCCAGACATCCCCAGCACTTTGCTGACAACTTGACAAATTTACTTGAACTATTTTGATGTAATAACGTAATTAGGTAAAAGGGTTCAGCATCCAATCCCATTCCACTAATTTCAGCCATCTGCTTCAACATTTGTGTGCCAGACTTCAGAGTGTCTTTGCTCTAATAGTAATTAATGAAACTGTTAATAAGCTACATATATCATATTATGCTGCAATGATTTATCAAAGGATAATGTTATGAGACAAATTATATATAACAATTATAGAAAATGGCTCGCATTACTAAGCGTTGCATGCTGCTAACTAGTTGCTTTACTCATCTCTTCTTAACGAATTCCCTAATTAATTTAATGCATACTTTATGCATAATTTGAAATTTAAAAACATCGCTGGGTCAGGTTGTAGCCGTCCTCTTTTACATGCTGTCTGCTCCTACAAGACACACATTAGCCAAACATGACCTCTATGCAAATTGTGGGCCCTGCTGCTGCTTCCACTCCCAATCCCGGCGCACGCGCTCCCATCCATGGGCATGCGGGAATCTGGGTCACTATTTATGCAAGAAAAAAAAGGAAAATAAATGGCTTTTCTAATCTTTCCTTACATAACCGGCTCCCTCTGGGGGAAAGCTGTCCTCAGACAAGGCTTGTGCAAGCAGCCACCTGAGAACAGAGCTTCCCCAGCACCGTGCGCCCAAAATCCCACCCCAGAACAGCAGGGTCAACCCCAGATCAAAAGATCTTTAAACATAGAAACACAAAGTTCAATTTCTTCATGTTCAGACGTTTCAGGCTACACCACATAACTGTCTGATATTCGCCAGTTTTCTACATCGAGAGCTTGGCAGCTTCGCCACAGAACCAGACCATAAACTTTCCTTCCAAAGCAAAAAGTTCCATCTCATCTGATTGCAGAGCAATTACTGTGAGCTGAGAGTTCAGGAAAGCCACCAATTCCCCCAGCATCCGCACAGACCACCAGCATACACCAACTTTAACATTTCCTCATTCTTTGTCGCCTGACTTTCCATGTTAAGAGAAAGGAGCTGCCCCACAAGGCTGCGCCCAGTGGAACCCACAGACTGCCTGTTGGCACAGAGCAGCACAAAGCTGCCTTTTCTGACACTCATTTATAACCAGAGACTGAGATCGAGTTTTGAGGCACTCACTGGTTTGCCAGCATGACGCAGGACACGCTTGTTGAGGCACTGAGCATACCTGCTTCATTAGGGCAACACTGTATTACACTTGGGAAGTTAATTCATAGAAGGTGGCAAGTCCCATCAAGGAGCAGCTCTCAGCTCTGCCCAGGGCTCATTCTTAACCTCAGATGGAGAGAGGTGCTTCCGCCCATGGGAATGGCTCTCTGGCAAGCAGCATTAGATTTATTTGCAGAGCACAACAGGAAGGAGGAGCCCAGCTCTGTCCCCCACCCCATGAGTAACTGCCTGCCCTGATAAATCTGCTCCGCTGGGGAAGGAGCCCAAAGCCAAACCCAGCACAGCGTGCTTCCCCTGCCTCTGTGTCCCCAGGGCACAACACCCGCTGAGCAAGGCCAAGGGTTGCTGGAGCACAGCCTCCATCTGGGTCCTTCTGACAGCAGCATGGATTCTCTGCTGCCTGGTGCAGTGGCTGAGCATCCAGCTTTCCCTTCAGTGGGGCACCGAGCTGGGGCTTTCCTTCCTCAGATTGGGAACCCGAGGTCTTTGAGATGTGTATTGCTCTGTCAGATTCTATTAAAGTTAATCAGCAGATTCAAACCCCAGCAGGACCCCGGATAAGATGCACAGACATAGAGAGAATTGTCATATCATTCTTAATGAATATAATTAATACTTCATGGAACTCAATATCTCAACGAACAAATCGTTCACAAATAAAGTTACTGTAGTAGCCGATTATCGCCTGTAGGCACAGTCGTGTCTCAGAAACAAAATCATGATTTCATAACTGGGAGCATGGATGGGAAGAGCTGAGGTGCTTGGGCAGCTGGGTGCTGGGTGCTTGGCTGGGAGGAGGTGACCCACAAGTGCAGCAAAGGTGGTGGCAGAACACACAGAGCCATTGCTGAGTGGGATCCCTCCGTGGGAAATCTTCCCTTCTCCTATTGGCATTCCTGCTCGTGCACATCTCTCCTCCACTGTCCCTTTGTGCACTGAGCCTTCTGTAAGTGTGGTTTCCAACACGGCTTTCTTAATGCAATGCCTGTGTCCGTGTCTGTGCCACCTGGCCATGCCGGAAGCACTCTGGTGCTCAGTGGCAGAGAAGTAATTAAGACATCAAGTAATTGAGATATGGCAGATCCTGCACTGTGACGAGAGGAAGAGCTCGGCGGCTTCCTGAACAACCCAGCTGTTCTCTGCCATTTCCAGGAAAGGCCCCATGCATTCTGTGTGGTCTGACCAACCCAAGTGCCCGACTTTGGCATCCGTGGCCCAATGTACTGTCTTCAACTTTGCTGGGTCTCTCATGCTCCAGACCAGAAGGACAGTTTCCCAAGCCTGGCAGCCTTTAGTATGGGACCATTCCTCCCCAGATTCTCTTTGGACAGTATTTTTTATACAATAGGAAACTACTATACAGAATTATGATAACGTTTGCTCACCTCCAGCACACTCCTCTGCCAGAAAAAAAAATACTGAGTTCTCATCTACAAGTTATCTCGCTTCTGTGCTTTTCAGTCTGAGCTTTGGATTGCTGTAATGGCAGAGTAGCCTCAGTTAGATAATTTCTCCCTGCAAAAGCAGCTGCCTTGTGCCAGGAGTCTGCTTTAGGATCTGGAATGCTTACACTTGCCAAGGAGGATGGAGCGAGCCATGGCCGTGCACAAGCAGCCCAGCAGCCCTGTGCTGACCCAGGCTGGATCTGAGCCACTGGAGTGCAGGGACCTTCCCTGCTTGAGGCCATGGGCAGGGTGAGGGCAGGGTGAGGGCAGGGTGAGGGCAGGGTGAGGGCAGGGTGAGGGCAGGGCTGCCCCTTCCCTCTGCAGAGCACAGCTCGGAGGTCCAAGTCCTCCCTGTGGGGTGGCTCTGAGGGTCTGCACTGAGGAGTTAAAATAAAACAAGGAACTGATGACAGCGTGGGGAAGGAAACCACTGCCTGTGGTTTATCTCAAACTTTCTCTTTTACGTTGAAGGGATTATTTATTCTGCATTCAATCTTGACTCCAAGCTATCATCTTTTCCCTTTTAAACCATCCCTTTGAATCCTATCCCTCACCCCCACTTCCTCAGGGTCCCTCAGTGCACACCATGCACACACACACATCCTGCAGGTGCAGAGCTGCCCGCACAGCAGGGGAGAGGAGCTGCACAGCCCTGGAAAACCATCTCTGCCAGGAAGGTGTGCCTGTAGCCAGCAGCACGAGCAGGGGCTGGGCTCAGAACCTGCTACTTTTTCTTAAGTATGAGCGCAGCGTTTTGCCACTTGCTTACTGATCTTTCAATATTCATACGTGCACTGCAGTAGGCTGGAGCCCGGGCTTGGAAAGATCTGTCATTTTGTTACGTGGGACGCGGTGCTTTGGATTTAAGATGTCAGATTTCGAGAGCCGCAAACTACCGACTCCAGCTTTTTCCTCTCAATCCGCACCCGCGCTTCCGCTCATAGCCACGCACCACGCGGGGTCGCGTTCCTCCACCAGCCCGCACAGCTCCGTAAGGGGCGCAGGTGGGGAGCAGCGCGGCTCCCGCAGCAGCCGCAGCTCCCGGTGCGCAGCGCTCGGAGCCCCGCCGGGCCGCGCCACGTCACCGCCTTTCCGCCCCGCTGCCCGCAGCACCGGCACGGCGTTCTGCGCCCCGTCCGTGCCGTCGAGTAAATGAGCCGGCGGCAGTCCGAGCGGTGCCCTGCGCCTGCCCGCGGGCAGTGCCGAGCACATGCGCTCTTGGCCGCGGAGTTAACGAGGAGTTAACGCTGTAGCGCGCTGCTAAAGCAGCGAGGGAGCGTTCCGGCGGCATGAAGCGTAGCGACACGTCCCGATAAAGTTCTGCGAACGCAGTCAGGAGCCGGGACGGCGCGGAAGGTAAGAGCCGGGCAGAGAGTTGGCCGGATAACGAGCGGCAATAGTTTCCTTCTGTGCGGAGGTGTTGGGTTACAGCGCGAGGCTGGGCGGGGTAGGGAGAGGAGAAGGAGAACCTCACCCTGCCGCCTCCCCGCTCCTTTTCCTTCGGGCTGCCCACAGCGGATGGGCGAGCGGAGCGCGATGCTAACGGGCCCAGGGGCCGGCGGGTGTTGGGGGGGGCTGCCACGCAGGCAGGGAACGGCGGGCTGCCGGGGCTGCGGCTGAGGCTCCCCCCGCGCTGCGCTGAGCCGGGCAGGGAAGGGGACCGAGCCGCCCACCCCCAGGCAAGGCGGCCCGGACTCGCCCGGGGGGCTCGCGGGGAGGATGAACGGGCTGCGGAGGCTGTTCCGCGGCAGCGGCCGGGCGCTGGCTTTCGTCTTCGTGGCCTCTGTCATCTGGCTGCTCTTTGACATGGCCGCGCTCCGGCTCTCCTTCGGCGACAACGGCGCGCGGGCTGCGGCGGAACGGGGACGGCGGGAGCGGGAGCGGCCCTGGAGAGCCCCCCCGGAGTCGGAAGGCGGCAGCCGCCGCGACCACAGCCTCCCCAAGGCCACGGCGGCGCGGCTGGCAGCGGCCGCGGGGTCTCGCGGGGGCGCGGACGGGAGGAGCGTGCCGACGACGGCAGCGGGGGAGCGGGGGCCGGGCGGGGAGCGGAGCCCCTCGGAATCGGCAGCCCCGAGCGGAGGAGCGCGCCCAGGGGGCTCGGTGGCGGCGGTGTCCGTCCCGCACAACGTGGCACCGGCGGTCAGCGCGGCCCCGGCACGGACGGAAGACGCGGTGGCGGATCGGACCGTTCGCGGGGGCGGAGAACCGCGGGTGCCGCCGAGCAGGGCGGGAGGCAGCGCTCCGTCCCGCAAAGCCGCGTTTCCTGCAAAGCGAAATGGGACGGAGGGAGCCGCGCACGGTGCCCACGGCAGCCCGCACACGGGGGGGGGCGCCCCGACGGCCCGGGCAGCGCGGCACGGGGAGAGCAGAGGGGGAGAGAATGCAGCGTCTCCTTCTGAGCACTTTGTCCTTATTAGCAAAGAGGGGGTCAACGTGAGCAACCCTGCAGCCCCCAACTTCGGCTTTGACTCTGAGGGACACTTCACCCGGAGCCAAGCACTGCACCAAGTACTGGGGAGCAATGGCACCTCTACCACACAAGCCTCCAGCAGCACTGCAGCACCTCGCACCCCAGGCCATGGCACCTCCAGGGCAGCAGCAGCGGGACCAGGGGCGGCCCCCGAGCTGGGTGGGCAGGAGGCAGCAGGCATCGGCACTCACCGAGTCCTGGCCATGGATGTCACGCTGGCACCCAGAGACCCTCAGGCACCCGGGCAGTTTGGGCATCCGGTGACAGTCCCCGATGACAAACAAGAAGAAGCCAAAAGTCGATGGAAGGAAGGAAACTTTAATGTCTTCCTCAGCGATTTGATCCCAGTGGACCGAGCTGTAGCAGACACCAGGCCTGCTGGGTAAGCCCTGCTTCGCCGCGCTGCTGGGTGAGTGATGCTGATAATGGTGAGGCTGGGAGAACTTCCAGTGTGGCTTAACTGGCTATGCCTGCTGACCAGAGAGGTGAGCTTGGCGTATATCAGGTGTATCATATCAAGTGTTACACCATTCAGTGCTATTTGGTGTCAGCACTCATACATTTGGTTCCACACACTGCCAGTGTGCCTGGGTAGAGTAGCCTTCCCCGCCCATGAGATCGGGGGCTGGCACCCATCTGGAGAGTAGGTGGCAATCCGGCCAAAGCCACCTGCTGTGTGCCAGCACACGGATGTGCCTGTGGCCAAGACAGTGATGGGGACATCCCAGGACTGCTCCTTTTCCCACTGTTACTGTCCTGCCGTCCAGCACAGGGATTCAGCTCTGCGATCCTGGGACCTGTGGGCAGCATGGTGATTGGAAAGCAAATAATTCACAATGATAATTCATAATGAAAGGTGATGACCTCACATTGCACCACGGAGTGTTGTGTTGGGTACTAGGAACATTCCTTCCCCAAAGAGCAGTCAGGCAGTGGCACAGCTGCCCAGGGAGTGGGGGGTCACCATCCATGGGGGTGTCCCAGAGTGGGGATGTGGCACTGAGGGATGTGGGCAGCAGGCCCCCATGCCATGGGTGGGTGGGGTTGGGCGTGGGGATCCTACAGGGCTTTCCAGCCTTAATGGTTCTGTGGTTCTATAGCTCCCCATGAAATGTGCTGCTGGTTCTGTAAATGGCACTTTGGGCAGGTGGGAGAACTCTGGTGCACAGACCCTCCCGTCTCTGCCACAAGAACTATGACATGGGGTTTGTGCTGTGGCCTGTCCCCATCAGTGCACATGCATTCCCATGTTGCTCTGGGAGCCATTGGAGGTCCTTGCATGGAGGAACAGAGCAGAGGAGGAGGGAGGCAGCCATGGCAGCTTCCCAGTGAGCAGAAGGTGTCACATACAGAAGCCACCTGCACACAGAGCAAGAACTGCCTGCAGCAAAACCAGAGTTGAGGGCCAAGTGCTGGGAGCTGCAGTGCAGAACAGACCTTCAGGAGCACTGCCCACCTCTGGTCGATCAGAAATGCTACTGAGAAGGGAGCCACAGCCATTGGGTATCCGGGATAACGCCTGGCTATCCGGGTAACAACGCCTTGGCCAAACAGAGGTGGGTCCCCATGTGCCCCAGTTCCTCCTACACTGCTGCTGCAGCCCTCTAGAGCAATTTGCCTAGGATTAGGTAGGAACCTAGATTTCCTGGCCAAAACAAAGGCTGCACACTGTGTGGCACTGCGTGGTGGGGCTGAGCACCATGTGGGTCAGGGTGGCAGTGCCAGGCTGCTGCCAGGCCATGGGCAGGAGACCTGAGGGAGCAATCTCCAAAGCAGCTCCAGCAGTGTCAGAGCATACACCTTCCTGACTTCAAAGGGACATCAGCAGAACATCAAGGCTGCGGGCTGCTTTTCTTTAGAGTCCTGTCTAGGGCAGCGGTTTCAAAAGAATTTGACTTCTGCTTAACATTAGTTATATAGAATTAATATGCATGCACGTATATAAAATGTATGCGTTTATGTATGTATATTCTGTATAATGAGCAAAGAAAGGGAGCCCCAACTCGCAGAACGTGGTGAATTACCTTCGGCAGTGACAAACCCATCGCTGCCCTCCATGCAGGTGCTTGGAGCAGCAGGTTCACAACGACCTGCCGACCACCACCATCATCATGTGCTTCGTGGATGAGGTGTGGTCCACACTGCTGCGCTCGGTGCACAGCGTGCTCAGCCGCTCCCCCCCACATCTGCTCCAGGAGCTCATCTTGGTGGACGACTTCAGCACTAAAGGTGAGTGAAGCCACTTCTGCCTTGGTTAAGCTGACACAGCTGGAGCCAGAATACAATTTGTTCTTTGTTACCCACTTTGAATAGTAGTAAGAAGTTGCATTTTCTTCTCCTGATGTATTACAGTGCACGCACAGTGACTCCACGTGTGTGGCACAGACACGCAGATGGTTCCAACCTGTGCTTTGCTGTACTTTGGCTCTCTGTTGGCTTTGACTCTTCAAAATGTTAAACTGATCCAATTCTCTAAGTGGTGCTCCTTCAGGGAGCGTGCTGCCCAGACGCCTGTGTCCCTGCTGCAGATACAGACCCCTCCCCAACCACCTACAGTGAGCAAAGTAGCACAGGTGAGAGAGAAGGGACTCACGAAACGTTTTAAACAACCAACAGTATGTGCTCATACTGTTTACTCCCAGTGATGTCTTTTCAGTGTCCCTGTTCATTGTTGGACCAGATGGCCTTTAAAGGTCCCTTCCAACTCAAACGATTCTATGTGTCCATGAAAACTACATTTTGGAGTCTTTTGCCAATGGTTGTATTCCCAGCTGGGGCAGTGAACCACCCCAGCTTGTGCCCCAGACCTGCAGACACCCGTGTGTCCTGGAGAGCTTCCAGGAGCACTCTGCCCATCACTTCTCACACCTGGAAATGGGTGCAGGATGGGTCTGTCAGCCTCGCTCTGCCCTTCTCCCTCAGACTACCTCAAGGAGAAGCTGGATGCATACATGTCACAGTTCCCGAAGGTGAAAGTCCTGCACCTCAGAGAAAGGCACGGTCTCATTCGGGCCCGGCTGGCGGGCGCACAGGTGGCCACAGGTGAGACACAGCCAGGGCATCCAGGGCTCCCCATGTGGCCCAGCATGGCCAAGGGCTGCCGGCACGCACCCAGCGGTGCCACAACTCCTGCCCATAGGCACCGTGCTGACCTTCCTGGACTCACATGTGGAGTGCAATGTGGGCTGGCTGGAGCCACTGCTGGAGCGTGTCCGCCTGCACCGTGCCAGGGTGGCCTGTCCTGTCATCGAGGTGATCAGCGACAAGGACATGAGGTAACACGGCTCAGGCCATCCTGCCGTGGGAGGAGAGCCCTCTCTTTGTCTGTCAGAATGCTAATAGCGAGAAGCTGTGCATCATGACCCTCTGCCCGGCCTTCCACGGGGGGCTACACCAGAAATGAGCAGCAGCGGTCCTTGCCACTGCTTTATCACACACACCTCTTTGCCTTTTTGTGAATTTCAGGATAAGAGGTGATGGCCTCACATTGTACCAAGGGACGGTCAGGCTGGGTATTGGGAGCAATTTATTTTCAAGAGGAGTGGATGGGCAGTGGCACAGCTGCCCAGGGAGGGGGGTCAGCATCCCTGGGGGTGTCCTGGAGCCATGGGGCTGTGGCACTGAGGGATGGGGCATGGTGGGGTGGGCTGGTGAATCCTAGAGGTCTTCTCCAACCTTAATGGTTCTGCTGTTGTAGATGAAGAGAACTTCTGATGAAGTTTGTCAGAATCTTGTTTTAATTAGGTACAGACGTTCTTCTTTGTTCATTAAGGGTGACATTTCAATCAGGAATGTGACTCAGAATTCGTCATCTCCATCTCTGCCCTGTTCAGCTACATGACTGTGGACAACTTTCAGCGTGGGATTTTTACTTGGCCGATGAATTTTGGATGGAAGCAGATTCCACTAGAAGTCATTGAGAAAAACAAACTTAAGGAAACTGATATAATAAGGTCCGGACAGCAAATCTGAGAGCTTTGGGAGCCCACCTGTTTGCAGCTAGCAGCTTGCTCTGTGCGGGTGGTGTGACACAGGGCATCACCCCACCAGCCATGGCAAAGCCCCAGCCACCGAATGCTGTGTTTTTAATGTTACCTTTATCAGTTGGCCCCAAAAGGGATGGGCCCCAGGGTCTGCACTGTGAGTGCAAACCCACACACCGATCCCAGGCACCTCACAGCCCTGTTTCTGGGTGACCCCTTGGTGAAGGTGAAGGAGATGGGTGCATTCTAACCGCCTGACTTGCACCTTGCCACCTGTTGCAGGTGCCCAGTAATGGCAGGGGGCTTATTCTCCATTGAAAAGAAGTACTTCTTTGAGCTGGGGACGTATGACTCAGGACTGGATGTCTGGGGAGGTGAAAACATGGAGCTTTCATTCAAGGTAGGTTGCTCCTGGCAGCCTGTCCTGCGCGCCTGCTGTGGGCACTTCCTGCAGGCACAGCCACCTGCCCAAACATCTCTGCTCCTCAGGTCTGGATGTGCGGAGGAGAAATTGAGATCGTCCCGTGCTCCAGAGTCGGGCACATCTTCAGGAACGACAACCCCTACTCGTTCCCGAAGGATCGGGTGAGAACGGTGGAGAGGAACCTGGCGCGCGTGGCTGAGGTGTGGCTGGACGACTACAAGGAGCTGTTCTATGGCCATGCGTACCACCTGCTGCCGCGGCGCGCGGAGCTGGGCGACCTGAGCCAGCAAAAGGCGCTGCGGGAGAGGCTGCAGTGCCGCAGCTTCCGCTGGTACCTGGAGAATGTGTACCCAGACCTGGCGGCTCCCCTGGTGAAGGCCAGCGGGCTGGTATGTACCCAGTGGTGCTCTTCTTTCAACCTCCTCTCGCTGGCTTGGATTAGAGGCACGGAATCATCTTGGTGTGCCTGGTTCTGAGCAGCTTCCTGGCATGCGGTGGTGGTTTAGGTTCTTTAATCCATCATGACAGTCAGGATTCCGCTGTATTTTTATGAAGTTTCTATAAACTTCATCAAGTCTGAATTTTTATGAAGAGCTGCAAGTCGCATTTCTGAGGGGCGTTGAAGAGCCGTGCAGTTCTGTGCTATTTCATTCCGTGCCCACCAGCAGGGCGCAGCACATCGCCGCTCTGCTCCAGAACTCTGCCAAGACAACGCGCTCGGATCCTCACAGTCTATTTCTGATTGCAGTCACATCAGTAAAGTGCCTGCTTTGTTAGATGAGGTACAGCAACACCAGCAGTGCAACCCCGAGGGATCCCTGCCTGCCCTGTGTGTCTGAGTGCAGGCGCAGGAGCTCCATGGCAAGCTGGGCTTCACAGCACTAGTCTTGAGAACATGGAAAAAATGTTCCAAATTTCTGGAAAGCATTCACTTTTTTAGGAGTTCTGCTTCAACTACAATAATAAAACCCCACATCAAATCCAGCGCAGAGCAGTGAGGCCATACACAGGGACCTTTGTTTCAACGGAACCACAACCTCCTCTTCTCAGTTCTGTGCCTGTGAAAATGTCCGTGGTGCTGCCATGCTTTGTCCCAGTTCAGGCCACCTGAATTGCCCTTTTATCTTCATTCTCAAAATTTAATAGGGCAGAAAATCTGTTTTTCAGCTAGCTCTGCAAATTCCAGCTGTGCTGAACCCTAACCAAATTTACTTGGGAGCTGTGTTCTGAACAACCTGCTTATTCCCCAGGATTAATTTGGAAATTCTTCAGCAATTCTGAAAGAGGGAAAGGAACTGCATTTGCAAGGAAAGAGACAGGAGTGCACAGCCCTGCAGGGGCTGGGATTTGATGGCATCACCTGCAGCCGTGGCTGCTGCCATCCCTGTGGTGCACTGCTCTCAGCCACAGGTCATGGGCAGAGCTTGGAGCTGCTTTCAACGACCTGAACCAATGCTGTGCACTGAAAAGAGCTCATCTTGTCCTGCTTTGAGTGCTTGCAGAAGGGGCTGGGTTCAGGTTTCTGCTGCTGTAGAAATGTGTAGCAGAGCCAGTGTGCACTGACACGCACCAAAGAGCATGATGTGTGGTGGCTCTGCTTCCCCCCTTTGAGTGTGCAGTGTTAATCAGTGCTGGCACGGGCACGGCCTATGCTCTTTGTGACAGCTGATGTCTCAGTGTGCATGTTGGTGCTGTTTTTCAGCTTGTGAACGTAGCCACGGCACGCTGCATTGCCGCGCAGAACACCTCTCTGGCTCTGCAGGCCTGTGATGCTAACAACAAGGTAAGGTGCCGCACGGAGCACACTGTGCCATTGCTGTGTGTGCCCCTGCCCCTGTGAGAGCGGCTCCTGGGGTCCTGGCAGAGGGTCCCCATCAGCCATCCCTCCTGCAGGCGCAGCACTTCAACTACACCTGGCTGCGGCTGCTGCGGCACGGAGAGCTGTGCGTGGTGCCTGTGGGTGCTGCGCCGGGACTGCGGCCCTGTGGGGGCTGGGAGAGCGACCTGGCCTGGAGGCACAGCTCCATGGCAGCACGCCCTGAGCTGGTGAGTGGCATCCCAACTCCCCACAGCCCCCAGCCCTGACTGCCTGGCCACTCTCTGTCTGGAGCAGGAGGGAAGCGCCATGGCAGGGCTGTGCGCAGCAGGGCTGCACATCTGCAGTGTGGTGACAGCCACAAGCCCTGGTGGCACACCAGGTGACGGGTAGCACTTACACTGGTGTTGGTATCCACTGGTGTTCCATTCACAGTGTGGCTTTTTTTAAAGAAAAGTGTTTTGAAAAGGAAGAAAATGGGAACTTTATGACCTGTACTTCAATGCCTGTGCTGGCCCTCTGCAGGGCTTCGCTCTGAGGAACTTGGTAATACTCCTAATTTTGCAGAGAAGAACAGTAGCTGTGACTTAGCACTTCATCCTATAGCAAAGATCCCTTTCCTCTTCTGTCCAAAGCAGTAATACTTCCATGCATTAGGGGGAGAGGGGCAGCATGGCATGTGCAGTGCTTTACCTTCTGATGCCACAGTGACTGTGTCACGTTGGTGATGTAAGTTGCATTTACCATGTACAAAAAAAATCCAGTTTTTGCCCAGGCAGAAATGCATGTGTCCTTTCAGGACTGTTTCCCCTCAGTGTTACCACATGTGTGTGCAAAGCACTGCAGGCCAGGCACAGAACACCCCAATAGGAGCAGCCCTGGGACAGAGCCTGTCTGGTATGGGGAATGGGGGGAAAGATGTGTAGATGTGAACCCAAAGGATCACCCTCTCCACAGGCTGAGCACCTTGTGGTGCAGCACCAGCATCCACCTGCCTGCCTGCTCGTGCACCCAGTGCTGCTGGCCCTGAGGCTGGGTGCATGCAGTGCCACCAACCGCTACCAGCAGTGGAGGTTTGGCAGTTACCATGTGGCGTGATGGAGCACTGGGCCACTGCAAGACATCCAGCAGCAGCGACAGAGCTGAGAGTTCCTTTCCAAGCCAGAACTGAGCCAGCACAGAGAGAGCTTGGAGCACCCTGTGTAGCACAGCTGGCATAAGGACATTGGAAATGTGGTTTTCTTTCAACTGTGAGGCAAAAAACCACATCGTTTTCTGTGTTATTAAATAGAAATATTTTCTGAAATCCTCTGTCTTCTCATAAGCTGACCTTTTTAACATCCCAGAAGCAGCACGTGCTGACAGGAGTACCTCTGGGCTCCCTGCTCTGTGTGCAGCCAGCAGGGCACTGTGGGGTGGCTGTGGGCACTGTGGGGTGGCTTCGACACTGCAGCTGCACATTGCTGTCCAGCATTTACAGGCTGCTGCAGACCAGCTCACACTTCTCCTCCGAGTTCAAGAGGCACAGCGTAATGTTACCCTTCACATTGAGGATCAGTGCTGACAGCACTTGACAGCCTGCGTCTGCCAAACCATTGACTGCCCTAACAGATTTCCACAATTGGCTCCTGCTCCATATGTCTTCCTGATTTTATCTCCCCCCTTTGGTGCTGCTCGCCTGCAGTCACTATCAGAAAAATTGCACAGATGTTGTTTGTGCAGTCATGTTGTATCAGGAGCATGAATTTCATTAAATGCTGTTTGCTGACATTCAATCATTTGTCACTGAACAGTCAGAGCGTGTTCCCATGTCACAGTCACATCCCATCCCCAGCATTGTCCTTGGCATTTATCCCCCTGTGTCAGTGCTCGCTGCACTGCTGGTGTCTTTGACTCAGACCCCAGCACACCCTCAGGGACTGCTGGTGACGCACAGGGAGCACGGATCCCAGCACAGCCACACAGCTCCTAACCCAGCACAGTGACAACAGAGAGGAATTAGTTTCAGAATGAGGCTGTGCCTCCAGTCCTGACCCCCTGGAGCTGCCTCCTGTTCCCACCATGCTGTGTGCCCTAAATGTCATAGAATTACCATGGCGACTCTTAAGGTTGGAAAAGACCTCTAGGATGGCCGTGTCTGACCTCGGCCCACCCCCACCATGCCCACTGACCACATCCCTCAGAGCCACATCTCCCCAGGCCTTGAATACTCCCAGGGATGGTGACTCTACCACCCCCTGGGCAGCTGTGCCGATGCTTGACTGGCACAGGAGAAGAAATGTTTCCTAATACCCAACCTGTCCCTCCCCTGGCACAATGCGAGGCCATCACCTCTCAGCCTATTGCTGTTACCTGGAAACAGAGGCAGACCCCCACCTCACCACAACCTCCTGTCAGGAGCTGTAGAGAGCTAAAAGGGCTCCCCCGAGCCTCCCCTTCTCCACGCTGACCCATTCCAGCTCTCTCAGCCTGTGCTCTCCATGGGTCTGTGCTCAGAGCCTGTACAGCTCCATTGCCCTTCTCTGGGCGCACTCCAGGACCTCAGTGTCTTTCTGGTAGAGAAGGGCCCAAAACTGAACACAGCACTGAGGTGCAGCCTCACCAGAGCTGAGTACAGAGGGACAATCACCTCCTGCTCTGCTGGCTGCATCACTGCTGACATAACCAGGATGCTGTTGGCCTTCTTGGCCACCTGGGCACACTGCTGGCTCACGATCAGCAGCCATCCACAAACAGCCCCAGATCCTTTTCCTCCACACAGCCTTCCAGCCACTGCCCCACACCTGTAAGTGCTGCATGGGGTTGCTGTGGCCAAAGTGCAGGACCTGGCACTTGTTCTCATTGAACTTCACCCCATTGCCCTCAGCCCAGCGATCAGCCTGTCCTGATCCTCTGCAGGGCCTTCCCACAGAGCACCTGCCCTGCGCACAGCCCTGAGAATGCAAGCCAAGCACGGCAACACGGTACAGGCAGGTGATAAATGGAGACCTGCAGTGGGGTTGGAGCTGCCCACAGTGCAGCCCCTCCGGTGCCTGGGAAGGAGCAGGGGGAGCAGGCAGGTGCCAGCAGTCTGCCGGGAAGTGCTGAGCGGGGCCGGGGGAGCACCAGGCAGCGGGGAACAGACCGGCACTATGGGGCATACAACCAACCTCTGAGGTTTTTGCAAACCAAAGAGCAAATAAACAATTCTGAATGGTACAATGAGGACTGTGTTTTGTTTGTACAATACAGAATTGCCGTTTATTATTTTGACGTTGCCAATAAATAATTGCCTTTCTGTGGAACAAAAAAAGTCAAAGCAATACTCAGTGCTGCTGGAAATAATGTAAAACTGAGAATTAAAAAAGCAGTGATGGTTGAAGGGGAGTGCTGGGGTGGGAGTCACGGTCCAACACTGCTCAGACCACTTCTCCTTTCCTAGAAGATCCCCAGTCCTTTCTGGGACGATGTCTGCAAAGCTTGATCCCAACTCAAGACAAAGCTTTCCATAAAATAGTTCGAAAGAGAACGCATCCACAGCACCGTGGTTATACAAGAGAGCTTTAAAATGGAGAAAGGGAAAAGGCTGTGTTCAGGTGGCAAAAAAATATTACCCCTGAAATCTGCTTTGTCTCAAAAAATAAAAATAAAAAAATTAAAAAAAAAAAATTAAAATTTTGCATCTAAACTTAGTTTGAAAATTGAGAAGAAACGTTAAGAAATGCAGCCACAATGGCAGCATGTGGAGAACACAGCTGTGGTGCTGGCAGGCTGTACTGGACTGATCCCAGAGCTGCATGGGGCTGGATTGGGCTGTGCTCACTGAGGCTGGGCTGTGTGGCCCCAACCATCCCAGCAGCATGAGGACTGCAGTGTGCTCAGGGCATGCTGCCGTGTGAGCGTGGGTATGAAAAATGGAGAGAAAAGGAACGGGTGAACTGGAAGTGAATTGACGTTACACCTTCAGCAAACCAATCGTTCCCTGTCCTATGGATGCCCCACCTGCTGTCAAGGGGAAGGTAGTTGGGAAATCACATACAAAAAGGAAGCAGGGGTGGATCCGTGCTGTGTGAAGGCCATGTCTTGGAACACAAACAAAACCAGAACCAGCGCGAGCTCTCAGGCACATTAAGAGATTCCCCACCTCGGTTTATAAGTGCATCATGGACTCAAATTCATCGATTCTTTGTTTGGTGTTTCCTTTCCTGATCTTCCTGTAGGAGATGGTGTTGTACCGGGAGTAGCTGTGCCTGGAGATGTCGTTCTTCTTCCCCAGCCCCAGCTGCTCCCCGGCCCTCTCTGCTGGCGCATTGCAGGTGGGGCTGCAAGGGGGGGACATCTCCATGCTGCCCTCCTGCTGCTGGGGGACCGCGCCGCTCCCCTTTGGCACCTCTATCACCTGCACCTCGTCCTCCTCGGTGTCCTCCTCCTCCTCCTCTTCCTCCTCCTCTTCTTCCTCCTCAGCATCTTTCCCTCTCTGCTCGGTGCTGTCCGTGGGGGTCACCGCATCCTCCCCACCAGCACTGCCCGCTGTGCCTGCTGCACCCAGCGCCCGCTGCCCTGCGGCACAGAGAAGCATGGTGAGCCCCGTCTCACTCGGGTGGATGAGGAGTGACACCCCCAGGATGAGGTGTGACACCTTCGGGATGAGTTGTGACACCCCCAGGATGTGTGACACCCCCAGGATGAGGTGTGACACCCCCAGGCTGCACCCACCGTGCACACACGCATTGCAGGCGCAGCCCAGCACGCAACAGTGCCATAGCCGCACCCCTTGGGGCTCAGACCCTCTGCCCACCCAGGACGTGGGCAAACACACGTCCCCACTTGAGAAGCGTTTGGTATTGTTCTGCTTGGCACATCTCCGCTCCCATGTCACAACAAACACTCTATTCAGTGTCTGCCTGCAGGGTTCTGGGTAGTAATTAGACTAAATTGGTCAGGTACTAAAAAGCTGCCTGCAATTTGGAGATAAAGTGCTCGTGGCTGAGGTGAGGGGGCCGTGCAGGATCGTTTAATAGATTTTATTGTGCACTTGCAAAGCAGCACAGGTGGAGTGGGGATGTTGGTGTGGAGAGGGAAAGCCTCCATCCTGACTCATCTCAAAGCCATTCAGAGCATTTTGCTTAGGACAGATGCTCATATATTTTTTGCTTTCTTAGGGAAAGGTACACCAGTTTCTGATCATGAGGCACAGCCATGTATCTCCTGTATCTGCATTCACACAGCTCAGCTCTGTGACAATCACCCCAAGCTGCTCATTTGCTCCCCTCTGATGAGGAGCTCAGTATCAATGTGGCAGCTGACATATAGGAACCAGCAGCTCACGGCAGCCTGCTGGGCACGCGGGTGGGGGCAGCAACATGGGACAGCAGCAGCCATTCCTGGAACCACCAGCTCTCATCCCAGCCACCCTCTGCCCCTGTAAGGAGCCCAGAAGCGTCCACATGAATGCTCAACACTGGGACATTACACTGGAGCCCTCATAAATCAGGGAGGAAAAGGGTCTGGGTAGTGAGGACATGCAGCTACGGGCAGGAATGCATCTCTGTCCTCTGCACTGCAACGCGAGGTTTTGGCTGAATTTGGAAGTGATAAAACTCTGCATAACACTGCCTGGGAGGCTGCTTGCTGCCATGCTCAGGCTCTGGCACTCTGCACACACAGCATTCTGCATTACCTTCCTCCAGCTCCTGCCTGCAGGCTCCCATGTCCTGGGGCTCAGTTGTATCCTGGGGCTCAGCTGCTCCCTCCTGCAGCATCGCAATGTTGTCCTCTTGCTTTTCTTTGGGAAATACAAAGGACAAGAATTGGACTTGTGGAACAATTAGTGACAATAATTAGGCTTTAATTGTTGCAGATTGGCAGCAGAATTTTCGAGCAGAGCTAAGAAATTGCTCTTTTCTTTGGTCACCTACATTCCAATCCATCCTCTGTAACCACCAGCTCAGATCTGTCGCTAACAAATACTCCAAGTCTTGACACCCACAGTTGCAGCTCAGGAGCTCTGAGCAGCACACGTAACACATCCAGCTGTTCTTAAGGCTGCACATCAAACAAACTTTTCCGCCCAAATACTAAACAAAAAGGCAGCACCGCACATTACCTCTGCATCGCTGCTCTCCATCACAGTCCCCACGTGCTACATCCTCTGCCGACGAGTTCCCACTTTCCTCCACATTTCCTTTTGCCAGCAGAGTGCCGGGCTGCGCACCCGCCTCCACGCAGGGCATCGTCCCCACGGCTCCGGTGATGCCATCGGTGATGCCGTCAGCCAGCGGCAGGCCCTCCTGGGGGGCCGCGGTCCCGTTGCACGCTGGCAGGCCGGGCACCGAGGACACGTTGTCGCTCATGCTGAGCGCCCGGCACCGGGCCGCGTGTGCGGGCAGCCGGCCCTGCTCAGCCCCGGCGGTGACAGCGCGGGGTTTGGCCGTGGCACCGCGGGGTCCAGCCGTGGCACCGCGGGGTCCAATCGGCGTCTCAGCCACCACGCGGGCTGTCCCGGCCGCACGGTTAAATGCCCACTGCCATTTACATAAACAAACAATATGAAGCAAGGCGGCTTTTGTGCTGGCACGCAGAGCGGGGCTCTAACGTGTCAGCCGCGGTCACACACAGAGATTTTGTCTTCCCGCACAATGGCCCTTTGTGCCTTCCCCCGCAGCGGGAGCACCGGCTGTTCTCGCCCCGTAATCCTCAGAGGGTGACCGCCCCGTCGCAGCCCCATAACCGGCTTAGCGCGGCTCCGGCTCTGCCCCACGCAGCTCCGGTGCGCCGGGGCCACACTGGTACCACC